TCAGGTTTCTGCGCTCTCACACTTTGAATGACAATTGCGCGGTCATACAACATTGTACCCAAACTAAAATTTTATAATTTTCTTCACAAAACTAGGGGCTTTCTTTTGGTGGTATTTAATCACCGCCGGGGTTTTTATTCTTTGCTAAATTAACAAAAAAAGACCGAAAATTTTGTAAAAAAAAAAAAACCAAAAAAACACAACACGTTTGTTTCTGTTATAAAAGTTTACAAATAAATAATTATTCTTCAAAAAAATTATTCTGAAAATTTGGTGTAACCCAAATTAAAAAAAAAAACATGGTAAAAAAAACACAACAGAGTTCTTCAATAATTTCAATATGTATAAAAATTCTAAAAGTATAAATCATATGTGCATAAAAGTCCTTAAAAACAATGGAGCTCAATGTGACTTCACGTGTTTCCTTAAACAGATAGGTGAGAAAGGTGATGGGTAAAATGCGCACTCACCGGACGCGCAATGGTAATGCTCAGTGTATGGAATAGTGGAGGTCTGCCAAAAAGCATAGGAAAATCAACACAGGATAAGCATATGTCATCATTAAAGGACACGGGTGCAGCCTCTTCAAAGTGGTCACCAGGGAGAGCTCTGGGGATTTAAGTGCTCGGTGGAGAGCAAAAGATGGAAAAACCCATAGTGTAGTAGATTCAAATGATGTTTAATGAAAAGTAGAAATAAAATAAAAAGGTATTTTCATACATGTGAACATCGGAAATCTTGCGACAACCATGAACAATCAAATAACAACCATAGGGTTGCTATGAGCACTAACCAGCTGGTTTGGTGATAGGGGCCGCCGGGCCTCTTTGATCCGGCGGCGTAACGTCAAGACTTGCAGGCTCTTCCAAAACGCGTTTCGTACGCATGTACGTCTTCAGTTGGGGTCGCCATGTGCATGTGATCACTGTGACCATTCACAGCTAGACACTAGTATACAATGGATGGCATGAATGAAGCCATCCATTGTATACAACTGTCATGTGACCTGCTGTGATTGCTCACAGCAGGTCACATGGTACTGGCAACGGGGCCGGTACTCAGATCTGTGTACCTCGGACACGGCTTGTGACAGATCTCGCCGCTGCGCGGCTCTGCAAGCGTGAAAACTGCGCATGTGCGGGAGTACACCATAGGGCGTCCACCCGGAAACGTAGTGCATTCTTACGACCGCCAAACGGCCATTGGCCGGGCAGTTAATGGTTAAGGAGCCAGCACCCACTGTGTCCATAACAACTATGACTCATCTGCTGTCATTGGGATTCCCCACTGACAGCAGAATGTAAGCAAAAGAAGAGCCTGCTGTAAAATAAAAATGCAAAAAACAGCATGGGGGTCCCCCCTCCCAATCCATACTAGGCCTTTTGGGTCTGGTAGATTTGGAGGAGGACCCCATGACAACATATTTTAATAACTGCATGGGGTCTCCTCCAAAATCTATTACAGACCCTTATCTGAGCATGCAGCCCAGCCCCCCTTATGACACTATGGACCTGGGCAGGATGTGCGGTTTTTTTATTTTTTTGCGCTATAAACAAAAAAAAGACAATTTTGAAAAAAAAAAAATATATTTTTGACTTTTTGCTATTAAACATGTCTAGTAAAAAATTTTAAAAAATCAAATTTTGTCATAAATTTAGGCCAAAATGTATTCTGCTACATGTCTTTGCTAGAAAAAATCCCAATAGGTGCAAATTAATTGGTTTACGTAAAAGTTATATCGTCTACAAATGGCGGTATATACACTGAAATGTTTTGGTTTTTTTTTATACTAGTAATGGCGGCGATCAGTGACTTGAGGGACTGCGGCGGGCATTCTGACACTTGGGGGGGAACTGATTTGGTGTCACTGACATCCCCAATACAGTGATCAGTGCTAATAAAAAGCACTGACACTCTAATGACACTGGGCAGGAAGGGGTTAACATGTGGGGCGATTAGAGGGTTAACTGTGTGCGTTTTATTGAGTGTGCTGTGTTTCACTGTAAGCACGCTGATCTGTATGGCTCTGCTATGCAGAGCCAAACAAAGCAGTGTGCAGGAGCTCACAGGGGAGAGATCTGTGTTGTTTATACACAGGTCTCTTCCCCTTCGGTAGTTCTCGGCGATCGCCGGGTGCCGGCGGGGAATCACCGGCCGGGACCCGGTGATTGACAGACGAGGCTGCGCACGCCCCCTACCCAGAACTGCAAAATCACGTATATATACACGTGATTTTGCGCACACGTGTCGCCCTGTAGCAGTATTTATGTTATAGGCCGTTGTGGAACTGGTGAATGCCGGCTCTTCTTTTGTTTACATTCCGCTGACAGCAGATGAACCATAGTCCTTGAGGACACAGCGTGTGCAAGCTCCTTAACCAGCTATTTCCTGGCTGTTAAAATTAGTGAACTGACTTCAACGCAGTATTTACCAAGCGTTTCTGTTTTTTGAGGTAAATACCACATAAAAGGTAAATTGACATATTTGGGATTGCATGTGATATTTGTGAAAAATGTGTCAGATCACCTAATACCGCATGCTGTCTGCTTTAGTGAAGTGGAAGTGGAGCCCCATGTGTTTTGCTTTTTGACAAATTCTCTTTGAAGGTGGTCTATAGACCTTTTTAGGGTCTACTCATGTGTGCATTTGTCTGTTGAGGAAGACATTTATTTTTTTTTTAACATGCAGGTAAAACATTACACCACCTTTTTTAATATAGGCCCAGTGGCTACCAATTTCCTCGAAAATATAGAAAGGTATATAATAAAAGTGAATACACAACCGCAATGTACAGCGCACACATATTGACTTTATTTATTCCACTAGAAAACTACCATAATCCACTATGGTAAAATACAGTCAGAGGAGCCAGTTTAGCAAGCTACAAGACATAATAATCAGGATGATCTATTATTAGATCAAGTGGAAAAAAATTATCATAATTTGTTGTAGAAAGGGTATTATAAAACATTATAAAAAGGCATATGATGCCTGGGGGGGCACTTGTGAGCAGCAGACTGGATGGCCACATTGTATACCTGCTACTTGGCCGCCAGACACATCGGCACATTTTCCAGCCCTCGGGGGGTTACTGGTCATCCCTCCTGCCCCTCCTAGCCCCCAGTCCTCTGCTGCCCCAATGGGCAAGAAATCAACGACCACCCACACCTCCAAACGGCCTACCCGCCAGAGTCCGCGGCCTCAATTTCGAGTACGACGCCGGAGGCCGCATCCGAAGCCCCGGCCTCGAGTTCGGGTCTCCAGCTGAAGGCTGCAACTGAAGCCCAAGGCCTCGATTTCAGGTCCCACTCCGCAGCTATCCACGAGTGGGCCAGATCCCAGCGGTGATGACGACCATGCATCAGAGGCATCCCTGTAGTCTCCAACCCCAGCTCTGAGGGATGCTGAGCTCCTGCGCTGCTTCAAGTCCATGCTGCAGTCAGAATTATCCTCCGCTACTTCCAAGCTGGTCAGCGTCTTTCACGAGAAATTCGGGAGTTAGGCAGTTGGACAAACGATCTTGAAGATAAAATGGACGCAGCGGCCACGGTCATTGAAAGCCATGAAGAGGATCTGTGTGACCTCAAGAAAGAATTGGCGGATGCGCTGCTCCGGCTTGTGGATTTCGAAAACCATTCCCGCCGCAGCAATTTGCAATTAAGGGGTATCCCAGAAACGGCCACAGATCTCACCTCAACCGCCACCGCTCTGTTTCAGGAGCTGACGCCCGCCATTCCCATTGACCGGCTCGAATTTGACCGCATGCACCGTGCATTGGGCCCCAGACGAACGGATGGGTCCCCGAGGAACATTATCATCAAGTTCACTTACTATCGCTCTAAGGAAACTATCCTCTTGGCGGCCAAAAACAACCCAGACCTCAGATTCCAGGGGCATCGCTACCAGCTCTTTGCAGACCTCTCCCAGACCACTCTTCAGAAGCGCCGCCAGTTGAAGCCCTTTACTTTGGTCCTGGTGAATCGCAGAATTAAATACGCCTGGGGCTTTCCGTTCTGCCTCACCTTCAACTACCAGGGCCGCAGCCATTCTGTTGCCATGCCGGAGGAGGCCCACTCTCTCCTGGAATCTTTGCACTTGTCGCCGGAAGGGGCTACTCAGAGCCCAACTCATTCATCCGGATCCCCGGAGAGGCCGCTCCCTCTGGGCCGCCTCTAGGAGCAGTTGTCCAACAGGAGGAGGGCCCTCCCTCAGACCACTCTACGATCAACTCCGTCCTGCTTTTCTCCGGGCTGAAGATGTATCTTGGACCTCCCGCCGTTGGACTCTCCTGACGGGACCGTGAGTTTGGCCCTTAGGGCATTCCCAGTTTGTTAGTGTTCCAGGTTGGGCCTGATCCCTTGGGTTCCATCCTTGAATGGGGGGGGGGGGGGGTCTCCTCCTGGACTTGAGGATTATGGCTTTTTTCTGTTGCGGCCTACCACGGATCCGGGTGACATTGTTCGGGTTCCCGTTGGTGGAATGGGCTGATGGTTCCCTCAGGCTCGGGGTTGGAGGTTGGGTGTCGGTCCTACTGGAAGGTTGGTGGGGGACCACTTGGGCTGTGTTGTGAGGTACCATGGTGGCCTGTAGTGGTCCTCCTGGAGGGGGTTGGCCCCCAAATTTAGTTGGGGTTCCATGGAGAGGTCACCGCGGATGTTATCACTTCTGGGACTCATTTGTATTACTTTGGTACCCCGTTACATAGTGTTTATTGCCTTTTTGCCCACTGAGAGCTTATGTTTTTTGATGTTTTCATTTGCAGCTATGTATTCGGTGGTAGAGCCACCCCAACTAGTATCCTTCAAGTGTAGGATGCACGTTACCATTGGTGTGATACGATTGTACTGTTGTGCATAACTTCTTGTGTCGTTTTCTTCTTTTCTTCTCTGGTTCTTCTGTTTTTGTTTTTAAGCAGGGTTTCGGGACGCCATGGTCAGATCGCCATTGGGAGTGGAAATTGTTGGCTGACTTATATTTTTTCTGCTGAGCGTGTTGTGCTTATGCCACCACAACTTTTGAAAATACATTCACAAAATGTTCAAGGCTTCAATTCGCCTCAGAAGCGGGCTAAAGTTTTTCATCACCTCAAATCGCAACAAATTGACATGGTATGTTTACCGGAGTCCAGGTTTTCTCAGTCCTCCACCCCACGTATCTTTCGCCTCATTATCCCACTTTTTTACATGGCCTTGGCTCCTGAGAAACGCCAGGTCGTACTGATAGCTTTGCGTATGTACTCTCCAGCGCCTCAGGATATGCACAGCCAAAAGGGAAGCCAAGGGTACCAGGACAGCGACAACCAAAAGGAAATGTTCCAGGGGTGCAGCCCTCCTCAGACGGGGAAATCAGCCACTGGATAGAGAGAAAACAGGTGGCGCACACACCTAGTGCATTATCCAAGGTTTATTGTAGGAATTAAATCATAAAAAACATACTCACAGACGAAGCGAAGCATGTATCTAAAAAGCATAGAAAATGACAATGGCCACAACGGCGGGCAAGGTGTTCTCACTGTCAGTGCGGTCAAATGCCTGACGCGTTTCGGGGACGAATCCCTTTCCTCAGAGCTGATGACCAACCTCTGATGCTGATGTATGATGAATGGAAAGTAAAGTAAGAGCTCGCTGTTGATGCCACTCAACAGTGAGGCTCTTACTTTACTTTCCATTCATCATACATCAGCATCAGAGGTTGGTCATCAGCTCTGAGGAAAGGGATTCGTCCCCGAAACGCGTCAGCCATTTGACCGCACTGACAGTGAGAAACCTTGCCCGCCGTTGTGGCCATTGTCATTTTTCTATGCTTTTTAGATACATGCTTCGTCTGTGAATATGTTTTTATGATTTAATTCCTACAATAAACCTTGGATAATGCACTAGGTGTGTGCGCCACCTGTTTTCTCTCTATCACATACTTATAGCTTTCAACGCAATCTTCCCATTGTCTGTGCTCGGAATATAGCGGACCCATCGGGCAGGTATTTGCTCCTGACGGGCACCCTCAGGGGACCTGGAGGTTACTTTTGTCTCTTACTAGGTGCCCAATCGCTTTCAGCATAAATTCTTTTCTCATCTTTGCACCACCGTTTCCTGACACTCCAAGGGTCTTCTTCTTTTGGGAGATTCAAATGTTACCTTGGATTGCACATTGGATAGGTGCTATGCACGGGGGGCGGCCACTTCTCACGACTTCATGCTAGAGGAACGTATGCGCTCTCTTTTGCAGACAGCAGGGCTGGCAGACGTCTAGAGGGAACTTCACCCAACTAAGCGCGACGTTACATTCTATTCCAATCCTCATGACAGTTTTTGTAGAATTGACCATATATTCATGCATGTCCAGCAGCTTCCCTTGGTCAAGCGGATATCTATTCCCTCCTCACCCTGGTTGGACCATGATCTCCTGGTACTCCTCCTTGACCTCTCTGGGTCGGTATGGCACCCCTTTCACTGGTGCATTAATGATTCTCTACTGACCATTCAGGGTACCTGTCAACAAATAGAATCTTTCTTACGCACATACTTTACGGAAAACTTGGGATCTGTCTCTTCGGCAATGCACCCATGGTGTGGGGTCATGTTATGCAGCTGGCGGCAGTTCGGAAGCGGGAGTCATCCCCAAACTGTTCCTACAAAGTTGGGAGCATGAAATTGTCCAAAATGTCTTGGTATGCTGATGCCTTAAGAGTTCCCTTCACTGGAACTAAGGGGCCAAGCCCAACCCCTGAAAAACAACCCCACACCATAATCCCCTCTCTACTAAACTTTACACTTGGCACAATGCAGTCAGGCAAGAACCATTGTCCTGGCAACCTCCAAACCCAGACATGTCCATCAGATTGCCAGAGAATTGTGATTGGTCACTCCAGAGAACACATTTCCACTGCTCCAGAGTCCAGTGACGGTGTGCTTTACACCACTGCATCTGATGCTTTGCATTGCACTTGGTGATGTAAGGATTGGATGCAGCTGATTGGCCCTGGAAACCCATTCCATGAAGCTCTCTACGCACTGTTGCTGTGCTAATCTGAAGACTACACAAAGTTTTGAGGTCTTTTAGTTACTGACGCTACAGACAGTCGGCGACTTCTGCGCACTGTACGCTTCGGCATGAGCTGACCCCGCTCTGCCATTTTACGTGGCCTACCACTTCGTGGCTGAGTTTCTGTTGTTCCCAGTTGCTTTCACTTAGTTATAATACCACTAATAGTTGACCGTGGAATATTTAGTAGCAAGGAAATTTCACGGATGGACTTATTGCATAGATGGCAACCTATCACAGAACCATGGTTGAAGTCATTGAGATCCTAAGAGCGACCCATTCTTTCACAAATGTTTGTAGAAGCAGTCTGCATGCCTAGGTGCTTGATTTTATACACCTGTGGCCATGGAGGTGATTGGAACACCTGAATCCAATGATTTGGAGTGGGGTCCCAATACTTATGGCAATATAGTGTGTGTGTGTGTATATGTATATATATATATATATATATATATACATACAATTCCAACCTGCTTGTAACATTTGGACATTTACATTTCATTGCAAGGAGTAGTGTGGGTAGGATTTTTTAAAATAATAATTTACTGCCATCTAGTGTTCATTTGCATTAGCACGCTTATTTTTAATTCATTCCTGGGTTAGTTTCCTGGCTACTTTTGAACCAGTAAATGAGGCTTTGAGCCAGGATTGGGCGATGCCATTGTGGACAAAGCACACTCAAATATGGCTTCACACATTCATACACAGAATAACAAACTATACATTTTATGTTTTTAAAGTGGTATGAAAGGTGTATTTTTATAAAGACACACAAGGTTTTTTTTTACCTTACTTTATTCTCTCCATTAAGGTAAAACAAAATCTTCTCCATGCAGTTCCCCCCTCTTATACTTACTTGAGCCCAATCTCAATCGAGCACTGTGCCCGAGAGCAGCAGTTCTCCCGACTCTCTCCTTGCTCGTTGGCTCAGAGACAGCAGCATGAGCCATTGGTTCCTGCTGCTGTCAATCACAGCTAGTGGCAAGAGAGTGGGGGGGATGGGGCTGAGTCCCGCTGTCTGAGTGTATAGACACAGATAGTGAGCCTCAGGAGCAAGCCTGCACGAGTGCCCCCATAGCAAGTGACTTGGGGGGGGAGCTAGGAGCACCAGCAGAGGACCCCAGAAGAGGAGGATCAGGGTTGCTCTGTGCGAAACCATTGAGCAGTTAAGTGTGACGTGTTTGTTATTTTAAAGAAAGTAAATCACATTTAGAATCACTTTAATAAAATAGAGGTAATACTTACCTGCTCTGTGCAACAATATTACACAGAAAGGTTGCTTTCCTCCTCATCTGGTAATGCTCTGCCAGCATTGTCAGCTTTGCCCTGAAAAAAAAAAATCTTTATATTTGTTTAATTCTATAATATTAGAATCAATTACAGGAATGTGGCAGGAAAAACAGCCACTAACCAGAAACCCACAGTTATTGCCCTGGCAAATAATAAAAAAAACTGGAAACATATGCTATGAATAAATAATAACAGAAAATTAGTAAGGAATCTGGAAGTGTCAGTATTTGGCAGTATGGAAGTGGCACTAAAGAGGTGTTAGCATAGAGATAGCAGTGTTTTAATTTGTGCCCTTATGGTAACTTGTACCCCCTCCTGTTTGGTACTAGATAGTACAGTCATTAGCTAGACACTCCCTGCTCCCTTATCCTGCTAAGTTTAGTTTCACTTTCTGCTGCAGAGCTAGGGCCAGAGGCGGACTGACCATTCAAGCAGTTGGGCACTGCCCAAGGGCCCAGGGTCAGTAGGGGGCCCCATGAAATGCCCCTGGTACTTTTTATAGGCTTTTTTGGGTGTGCTTTGAGTGTGAGCAAGGACACAGGGGCCCCATGATCCTCTATTGCCTGTTTTTGATGCTTCTGAACTCACTCATTAGATGCAAATCTCTCTCTACACTTGAGAAATTCGTGTGTGTATTGGAGCTTTCTGTGTATTGAACCTTGCTAGTGGAACTACAATAACTGTTTCTAGAATTGTCCCCACTGCTAGAATTGCTGTGATGGCTAGAATGTTTGATTTCTATTCTGCACAAACACCTATTTCTCTGGGTAACTCGTGACTGCAAACAAGATACAGCTACACTGCTCACATTTACAGCAACAAGTCTCAGCAAGGATATGTGCATTCACTAGACAGGAACTCTCCTATCATATCCCTGATATGTGCCGCTGTACCATGTACTTGCATGTAAACGTTTTCTTTGTATTGCTTCTTTTATGTGAAATCCCTACTGTTCCTGCCAATCCCTCTGCTTTCCTGATACAAAACTGACCACACTAGGCATGAGAGCACAGTGTGCTCAGTTATCTGACTGTGCTGGGGGAACTCAGTGTGCTCTCCTCCAATGATCAGACTTGTCCTGACAAGCCCTCCCCCCCTGCACAGCCATTCACTAGGAAGATCAGTGTGCTTTTCTTTCTCCACCTCTCACTGGCGTATAAGACTACTTTTTATACTTAAAAATATACCCCAAAAATTGGGGGTTGTCTTATACACGGGGTATAAAATGTGAACCTTGAGTTTGTTTGGGTCAAGCTGGCTGGATGTGTGGTAATACTGTACATACAGTATACCGTGCTGAGCCAAGCTGGCTCAAAACAAATGTCCCTATGACAGATTAATCTGTCAGCCCGCTGGATGTGCGGTATATACAGTATACTGCGCTGAGCCAAGCGGTTTTTCAAAACGTACCGGTACGTCCCTACTGTAATCAGCCCGCTGGATGCGTGTATGTACGGTAGCTGCGGCTACATACAGTATACACTGGGCCAATCACGGCGAGTGATGTATTTTACTAATGAATACAAAGCCTGCTCGGATTGGCTGAGTCAGAGAGGTGGGCTGATGATGTCACAACCTCAGCCAATCCGAGCTACCGTACATACACACATCCAGCGGGCTGATTACAGTAGGGACATACCGGTACGTTTTGAAACCGCTTGGCTCAGTATACTGTATATACCGCACATCCAGCGGGCTGACAGATTAATCTGTCATAGGGACATTTGTTTTGAGCCAGCTTGGCTCAGCGCAGTATACTGTAAGTACAGTATTA